ATAATAATAATAGATAATATTATTCGTGAAATTACCTAACTATTATCATAGTTTTTTGGGAATGAAGATGACTAAAATAAATATTTTAAATAATATATTTACAATATTTCTAATAGGTAATATTATTTGTGATATTATCTCATAGTTTTTCGGAAATGAAGATGACTATAATTATCTCAAATGACATATATATAATTATTAATAGATAATATTCGTGATATTGTTATGTTTATCGTATTATTATCATATTGTTTAGACTTATATCAGGCAGTATGTTTTTTAGTTCCTAGTGTATACAGATGTTAGAATTAGTAATTAATGTTTAGAAGGCCTTTCTGTCAACATTATTGAATGCTACTGTTAAGTGATTTTATATTTATTTCATGTCAGACTTGATTTAGTGTGTTGAAGTTGTTTTGATCACATATGATAATAAATTTACAAATTCGTTCCATTTATTTTTTGTAATGAAAATTTATTCAACATGTACATGAAAAATGTATATCTCTATTATTTACAGCACATATTATACTGTCAATCATCAATTTAATGCACGCGAGCATTACGGCTGACATAAAGCGGTTAGCCGTAAGCAATAATGGTTTTGCAGTACATCCACCACATGGATATTCTTCCCAATAAGTAGTAAGGCGCTGAGTTGCTATAACTGCATGTCGAAATTGAACTCTCGCGATATATCAGCTTGGAGTTGTTGCGACACTCTGTACTCCTCCTTCATCAACTTGCACAGCAAGTAGAAGTGGATGTTGGCTGTAAAGTGTAAGATAAAGTAAATATAAAACACCTATATAGACATTATAAATAAAGATTAGATTTTAACAAAAAAATTTGTGTTCTATTCTATATAAAACATTTACCAAAAGATATGTACAGTTATAAAACCAATAGACTTCGTTTTAATTCAAATGTAGGCCTTTATCAAACGTGCCATTTTAGTTAAGGTGGAAAAAGTGGTTGTAAACAATGAGTTATAAAACAAAACATTAATTGTGAAGAAGCATAATATGATAATGATACTGTATATCTTACATTGCTTGGCCCTCTGGTAGAGCCAATTGTGATGCCCCTTCAATCTGTTGTTAGTGCGAACTTCCTGCCTAAACACGATCCAGTCTACCTACTAACTAAATCCTTTCCGAGCCACTGGGGCTCATATGGCTGGAGCTTATCCCCAGTTTCAGTGTGAAGCGGATGAGAGTTGTACTTCCCCTGGACGGGACACTAGTAGTCCATCGCAGGTTAGTCCCCAGCAGTTTGCTGGTACCCATTGATACACCTGGGTGGACTGAAGCAATGTAGCTAAAGTGCCTTGCCCAAGGACACAAGCGAATCTGCACAGCGGAGACTCGAAACCACGATCCAGTCTACAGTACTGAAAATATCTCCATCAATCCAATAGGACTGCAAGTACAACATCATCTCATCCATCGCTGCTGCTGCTGACTGTTTCATGCAACAAAAAAAATGTGCTCTACAGGAAGAACAGGCAGCGACATCAGTTGGCAGATGAAGTTCTTCGTTGCAGGCCAAACTCCTAGACCTTTCTGAAGATTGCCTGTAGAGAAAAAAAGATTGAAAATGGTGGAAGCGGTTGGGCGCAGCAGGAATGGTTTGGTTTCCCAATTCACTTGTGTCCTTTATGGAAGGCACCTCATCTAAGTTGCATCTCTCCACCCAGGAGTATAAATGGGTACCTGGTGGGGTTGCCTGCTCCTGCACCAAGATGGCAGCAACACTTAAGCATGCGGACCCAATGACCAGGGAAAAACTTACATCTACATAAACTTTACATCTACATAAATAACCAGATTAGATTAGATAATATACATGTTTTACTAGATAGAATGTGTTGATTAGTATTTATGTGTGTTAAAAAGATGTATATGAAGGTACAATGCAATTTGTTTGTATTCAAGTTGTATTTTTGATATAAAGTATTGTTTGAAGATTTGCATGGCGAAGTAATAACATATATGTTGAAGCTTGCAGTACACATATATGTGAAAGCTTGCGGTACACTACGTAGGTAGTTCTGAAAAGAACGGTTACATGGTGTTCCGCAAGCTTCAACATATATATTTTTGATATACTTGTAAATGTGAAAATGTTTAAGATGAAAAAGATGTTTTGATTGATATACCATACTTCAATCATCCTCGGGAATTGTGAGTGCTTATACACTATAAACATACCTGTGTGAAATGGAAAAGACATCGAGAGACTTTGAAGTTCGGCACATTGACATGACTTCTAAATTAAAGACAGGCAACATCCGTATTAACAAGCATAATACAGTCCACACCTCTCTTGCAAGAAATCATGGCGAATACCAATAGAACATGCTTGCAGGAGTTGCCTGACCTGATAAGGCTGTGTACACGGAACAGCTGATAGAAACGGTTCCTTGACTAACTTAAAGGTACCATCGAGAAACCTGCACGTAAACAGTGGTAAAGAAAGCCATTGTAAATTTGCTCTACATCTGTTATCCCTCATTTTCCCTTTCCGTTTCTGTTTGATTTGATGACATTGGAGTACATGTTTTGAAAATTATTTTCCCTTAAAAAAATAATCGTTATTTGGCCTTCAAAGAGCGCATGATAGAACGACAAAAACACTCAAATACGAACTCTGATGTTTTGTTTTTACTTTAATAAACTGTGAAAACCCTTACCAGACTGGATCTTGAAAGCATGTGAAGCATTGTTGAAAACAGTATGTAGCATCCCCCGAAGAAACGCTTGCACAATGTGCTGGTTGTGGACCTCAAACCTAAGTTATCGGGCATTTTGGTCTTGATACACTGTAGCTTCCCCTTTGATTTGCTTATCAAGCAAAGGCATGCCGGTTTTGGCAACGTCGGATGCAACGCAATTTGGCTAACATCAATATCGTAACACAGGAACCTGTCGACTATCTCCGCTGCAGAGTCGGTTGCATTCAGCTTTATATTCTGCCGAACCACAGCCACTTTCCCACGTCTTATGTGAATATGAAAAAAGGAAGAAATTAATTAATTGCAATACACATATCCATTAAAAAAAATTCATTGTAATGTATTGTGACTGTGTATTTTATTTTTATGTGGTATTAGCATAATCAGCCAAAAGTTGAATTAAATAAAATAAATGATATACAATTAGAATTTTTAATTAATATTTATCACATTTGTAAACAATTCTATGTTAAGTACGAAAAATATCTCAGAATTCATTTTTTGACAATAAAGTTGACTTGTATCTTGTAAAATGATATTTAAACATACCTGGCATCATACCGCATATATGATCGTCCATTCCCCATCTTTCTCAAGAACAGTAGCTTTTTTTTTTATGGCCCTAGTTCTAAGGGAACAGTGCAAAGTTGTGTTTGTATGACAAGTGTTTAAGCTGTCATTAGCCAAATAGCCCAAATTCTAAAAGCTGAATTTGGCTAAATATTTGAAATAGGTAACATGGGAGCTGGCATAGATGCCACGCCAATATTTTTTTATTAACGCTGCTCTCCAATAAGTGCTGCACTGAAGCCCCCCAAATTGTGTTTATAAACGCTGTGGCACTTATTCGAGCATTTACGGTACCCATTTTCTTGGTGTATTGGTACCCAAAACTGTCCACTAATGTATCCTGTAAAGAAATAATTCAATATATTAATGACACACAAATTGCATATATCATATGACAAAAATAGTTTTTAATGTATTTAATATAACATTGGAACAATAAAACAATATTAGTCTACAGTATATTTTATACATAATTTATATTTTTATATTTAAGTACCATTAATAAAGCAATACATATAATATGCGGCAAAAACAAGCCAAACCAGTCACTTGTTGCAAAAATCAATTTCCTGTTACAGGGTTAAACTGTAAAATGAGTGCTATGAAATGGTATAAAAGATCTGACGTTTCCTTATAAAGTTAAAAGTGTTTAAAGAACAATATTTGAGAATTATCAGTCTTCAAGTTTATGATTTCGGGCATTTCTCAGGCAGGCCCCATCACCAAATTGTTAAAAATTATTGTTTTAACATTGCAAATGGGGAAAATAACAGCATTGCATGATGTATAGATATATATAAAGATTAGTTAGTGCAATAAAATAGATTTCAAACATTTTGATATTCCAGCATGTTTTGACCATTATCTCTGAAACACAATTGCAATGAGTGACTGGTTTGGCTTGTCTCTCCCACATACTGTATATAAACAGCTTACCTTCCCACAGGCTGTTGTCCCTTTGAATACTGCATCCATATGTGATATGTCGTCTTCATTGTCATCCGCAACAGGGTTAGGTTGAGGATACGGATCATCCATTTCTGGTTCTTGATGTACCACTGGTTCATTGTCGGTGGCATATACTTCAACAGACAGAGGACAGAAAAGCGTATGGATTTTTCAGTATATTAGGCCTAATACTTGGCCTAGGTCTTTGTCTTTACTGATTTAACAAGAACTTCAGAAGATGCTGATGAACGCCGAAGTGTTACTACTACTACAGACCCTAGCTTGGCTAGGAATAGGCCCTAGCCTAGGCCTAGCTAAATAGTAAAGGGGTCTAACTTTCTACTACTACTAGGCCCTAACTAGGCGCTTCTTAGAGGAGGGCCTAGCTAGAGCTACTGTAGGCCCCCTGCCAGCCCTGTCTGGCTTCTCACTCTAGACTAGGCTAGTCCAGCCTAGGCCTAGTGTAGCCTACCTACCTAGGCTAGGGCCTAGCCCAGCTAGCCTACCCTACCTAGGCCTAGCTGTAGGCCCTACTATAACTAGTAGAATGTTTATAATCTTTGCACATACTGTTGACTGGTCGAAAATAAACTTCTTTCTCCAAAATTTATCTGGGCCCCTTGCACGAACTGATCGAAAACTACTTAGAAAAACCATTTCATTTAGCAGTGTTTTGATCACATCACCTCCAACAAGTCAAGTGAAAGGCTAACTTGCGTTATTTACACTTGCTTAAATTGCGCCCTCTAGTGATTTGAGTGTATGACATCCGTCCATTATGGATGATGTGAATGCATGTGGTGGGTGATAGGAAGAAAATCTTTATAGAGGGCACTGTGAATTATAAGTAGATTATCGTCTGTAGCTACATCTTTGTCTAGCGCACTCAACCTTCCGTCCGGAAACAAGTGTTAGCAGACAATTTGGCTAGACCAGAAATTGGCTTGAAGTCTATGTTAATGTTAACACGATATTACGTATATTTTTACTTTTTTCTGGAAAATATTTAGGTAAGCCACATCTTAAGAAACGAAATATATTTTTTGAATTTGTTTCTAGATTCATTTGAGCGTGGTAATGTGTGTTCGTTTTGGCTAGGCCAAGTTGATTGCTACTGAGTTTTGTAGGCTACGTCCTTGGCAGCAGAAGACGGATGAACTCCAATCAGATCATAGAGAAAGAAATGGTCAGATACGAAATTTCTAGAATGGTTATTTATTGTGTATAAATATTTAGCGCCCAATTTCAAAAATAGATTTTGCGGTTGTTAGGACATTTTTAAAGATACTTTACATGCCTGAATTCTAACATGTAGCTGTGTTTTCTGTATGTGCAAATTCTGTAAAATATCGTAAAGTTAGCATACTGCAGAGAGAAACACAGAGTGGGGATCTATAGCTAAAATATTAGACCGTTCCATTCTACAATGTAGGGTAATAATTTGACATCGCTTTGCTATGTTGGAATAGTTGTCATTCTGTCATGGATTTAACATAGGTTTTATGTGTTTTAATAAAAACATCATATATTAGGTTGTTTAAACAAATATTTAAAATGTCTTTAGTTATTGATTTAAATCGTATTCTAAATTATTAAGTGATAAGGATTATTACTCAGCCAAATGCATTCCTCAAACGAAAATGGAATACAACCATCTTTATGAACAGTACTAGAAGCCATTTTGTTTTGTAAAATGTATGCAAATCAATATAAATGATTATAAATGACCATTATCTGCAGGGAAATTTTTGAAAGTGAATTGTGGATGAATTTTAATTTAAGATGGAGAATAGAAATATAACCGTCTAAAAAGTTGTGAGTGATACATTACAATACTTAAAATATTTCAGACAAATGTAGGTTAAAATTCAGTTTTGTTTCTGAATCTTATCAAAATGACCAACAGGTTTAGCAATAGTGTCCCACATACACCTTCAAAGGGCACTGAAGACTGCATGAAAAACAAAATATGTAATTTGTGCAGCCCCAAATGAATAAACAGAGAGATTCTCTATTTTTACTGTACTGTACATTAGCTGCCTGAACAAGCATGCACACCACATGAATATATCTCGGCAGAATTTTTTCCTTTCTTAAATCCAGTGCAAGTACGGCTTTAATTGATTTAACATTTTATATTATTTTTGAAGACTTGTTACAATTTTAAGTGTTTTCATTGTAATGATGTCATCGCTGCAAATCAAATTTTCATAATTGGGAGGTTCGTAATTGGGAGATTTTACTGTATTTTTGTTTCAATCAGCATTTAATCTCTTCCTTTGTATTCAATTTTACATAACGGTTAGATTAATGCAGTAGTTGACCTTCAGTGATGACCTCATTGGTGATGATAAACGTCCACGATGCATAGTTACTGTATCAACCGTCTCGCATTGTGCGGGACCGTCCCACACTTAAAAGTGATTTTGAATGAAGAACGCATTTTGCAGTTAACGCATGCGTGATCATAAATTTGTCGTGCATTTAGCACATGTCTATCTCAGAATATCAGGTATCTCAGAATAGCTGACCAAGGATGGTCAGCGCATTGTTAAAACTCCCGACCTCAAGGTTCAGAACCTGAATGTTAAAATTGTGCCATCTTTAAATACTTTACTCCAGCCTTGAGATCAAATGAAATTGCCTAAAATTATGTCTGCTTTGTAATCTTTTTACGAAAGTGATTCTGTACTGTAGCTCAATTTGATAGTACTTGATGCAATATGACAATGTTGACAACCATTTGGTGACTAGCCCAATTAATTTTACCAAATGTATTGTTATAATAAGCGTTAACTTTGTACATGTATTCTAAAGCTAAATCATTGCAAGTAATTTTACAGAATGTCGTAATGATTACTTGATACAATACAAGTCCATGTGCTACAACGGCAGTCATTTATTTCCTGTACTTTATAATAATAGGCTGCAGTGTACAGACAACCTTCTTCCAAACACTATATTTTCTAGGCCTAGTGTTCCAAACTGCGCTAAGTGACACAGGTAGAGTAGCATGCCTGCCTCTGTTCAGTGTGCCCCTCCATCACTTATGGGAGATAACCTTAATATTTTTATACTAATGATGGTTTTACTAGGGGAGTCCAAGTCTATGTTACTCTCACTGAACCTGTATAGTTCCGTATTCCCACAAAAGATAAGCAATTTCAAAATCAATGCCATTAAAGCGATTGTGCCGGTAATAAGAGGCCTCAACAGCTGTTGGGTACAATGATTTAAAAACAAGGCTTAACTTTGCATTCTATCACTTTGTCATATTTCAATTTAAAAGAAGTACCATAAAACTGCAAAATGTTAGCTACAGTAGTGATGGTTGTATCTACGGTACAAATGTTTTTTTTCAAAAGTAATAGAAATTAAAATCAGGATCAGCATGAAGTTTGATATTATATCAGTAGTAATACAGTATTGCATAATTGTTTGGCTCTTTTTCAGATTCATGGCTAAACGAAATCGACGGCCAAGCCGTGAGTTGCGTCTTTTACAGGAAGATTCTTGTTTTGAGGAAACAAAGAATGTGAAAAGGTCAGAATTTAAGTGTAATGATTGTTCGTTGTCGTTTCATCGCAAGACATCTTATGACTCTCACGTGATGATTAATCACAAGAAGAAAGATGAAATGTCAGAGATATGGAACCAGTTGGATAAAGCAGAAGAAGCCCGAATTAAGCCCAGGCCCAGTGAACCTAACAAGATCCAAATTATAAAGAGCAACTTGAAGAATAAAATGGTTGTTGGTCTTGACGGTAAGGTACACAAGAAGTACCAGACTGGAATTGTTGAGCTGAGGAAAAAAGTGAAAGAATCTAATGTTACTGATGCTATGAAATCTAGTAATGTAAGATTAGCGAGTCCTTCTACTTCAGCCCAGAAGCCTACACTTCTGCCGAGAGGTGAGTGCAAAATTCTGTTTTTTTAAAAAGATTTTTTATTAAACCCAAGGTAAAAAATTCCATCTTTGTATATACACAGTTTCCACATCATCCTTACACATTTTGTAATTTTTCAAATGTCTATGGTCCTGAAGGACAAACATAAAGGCTTAATTACTAGTACTGTATTACTCATTGCATATATCTAAAATGCTTCAGCAAATAATTATACGTACCCAAGACTTCCCACAACTGATTACGGCCTTCTGCAACTCCTATGCTTTGGAATGACATCATCTTCATATTTGCTGTGCTGAATCAGTCCAGTCTTTATTATGAAGTCCTTGCACAAAAAATCTTTTTGCTGGTTCATAAAGCATAAATCATTTGTTTGTTATTTCTTATTATTACTGATTTATTCACTATATTAGGTGTGGCCTGGTGCCACTATCTCGGTCACAGACTTTGAGCAAGTGCGGATCCAGAGTTTGCCATGACTATCGCATAGATAGGGTCCCATGGTGGGCGAGGTCATGTGAAGAGAGCGTAATTTGTGATTGTTCTGTTACTGGAAGACAAATTTTAACAGGGGCACAAGGGGAGTAGTGGTCTGGGTCCTTCAGAAAGTTTAACTAATGCTTGGAAATTAATTTTCTTGCATTCTGAGACGTCTATTATTGAATAGATACACTCTGAATTATAGTTTTCAGTGACTTTCGTAGTTGGAGGGTGTATAGCACCTCAGCCCCATCATGGTTGGGGCAGAGGTAAGAAAATTTATGATTATGGCACCTGTACAGTAGATGTCCGGAAATAGCAGCACTCTCAGATTTTCAATTTTGTTTTTAATTTGAAAAATTTACGGGTGGAATAGGGGATGGGGGCAGCTGCTCCTTGAAATCTGCCACTGATTTTTTCATACTTTATTATTGACAATAAATGATGATGATGATGAGAATGAGCACGGTCTGAGTCGTGGGATTAATGCGAGTAAAGTACTGTAAGCTCATACAGTACAGTACAGTAGCTGGGGCCAGGAGACCACAAAATTCCTCCTAGTAGGGTGTAGGTGCGACAGGCCTGAAAGTCTGGTGGTTCTGATTTACTGGAAGACTTAGGTTTTTTATACAGTATTACCAAGTTCTCTTGAAATGCCTCTAATTGGATCGACTAATGTACGTACAAGCTGTCATGAAAGCTTTTCAAATTTGGTCGTGTGACACACCCATTGTACCACCCCACCCACTGGATAAACAGACCTGAAAACTTTACATTTTACTTGCCAATTAATGCAGTATTACACTTATTAATTAGATATCTTCTCAGTTTTCCAGTTTTGCTTTTAAAATTCTTTTCTTTTTATTTAATATTACCATTCCTATAGTTGCTCTTCTTCCGATACCCATTCATTTGCCATCTCCCAGTGTTTGGTGGTAATTTTTTACTTTTATTTGATATATGAAGTTTTTGTTCTTGTTTTCTACAATTAAGCTACCCACTATAATAAAGTCCTGGTTTTTCATGGCATTCGTTAAAATAATAATTAATTAAAATTATAGTAATAGTTAACCCTTTCACATTCATAAGTGCTTAAAGCACTCGCTAATTATCGTAATTAATTTATGAGCCAACCAAAAATCGTGTAAATAGCGCTGCGTAGGGTATTTGCTGCGTACGATCTTTACATGGTTGTTGTAACTTGCATATAGGCCTATAACTGCATCAGCGGTTGTCAACAGAAGAGTTACAGCTATGGTTACAGCATGCACGCAAAGATTGTACGCGGCGGATACCCTACGCGGTTTTATTTACACGATCTTTTGTTACTTTTTTCGCCAGTGACGTCACGAATAAATCGTATATAATGACCTATAACTCCATAAGAAATTGCCAAAAAGCGATTTTAAGGTTGATTATATTATAAATGGCATATCAAAATTCCCCTCTAGAACAAAAAATCATTTTGCTAGTTCTCTTTTAATGCACAGCTGCCATTTTGCATAATATTTGTTTATATATTCCTTAAACTCGCTTTCCATTTATTTATTGCCTTGTATTTTATGACCCAGAAAGTAAGAAATTGCCACTGGAAATCCCACGCAAGTGCCACTTGTTTAGGTACAGTAATGGTAATGCAGAATGTATGTTCGATCAGATTGAATTTAAAGATTCCATGAGCCATAAAACATTTTGTTTAAAGAAAAAAGCATGGACTTCAAAAGAAATATACATAATTCATTGCTATTTTAAGGTATGGGCCCATTAGTTGCAATGACCTTTGACTGTTTATGACATCATTAATACAATTTTTGGGTAACCCTTGATACAGTATAAAGAAAAATGAAAATGTAGTGGTACTGAACAAATGCGTGTTTTATGGGTTTATAATACAGTACCGGCCAGTTTTATTGCAAAAAT